CATATACTTTAAGCTACAAGTGCGATGTGTATAGTTTTGGGGTGATGTTGTTTGAAATTGTTGGAAAGAGGAGGAACTTCTTAGGTGAGAGTCAAGAGTGGTTTCCCAAACAAGTGTGGGAAAAATTTGACAAGGGAGAGTTGGAAGAGATTTTAGTGAAGTGTGACTTTGAAGAAAAGTATTGGGAAAAGGCCAAGAGAATGGTTATAGTGGCTTTGTGGTGCATGCAGTATTTGCCAGAGGGAAGGCCTTCAATGAGGGATGTTGTGAAGATTTTAGAAGGTGGAGCTGAAGCTTTTGTTCCTCCAAATCCATTTCAGCATTTGATGCCTTCGGCTGATTCGTGCATGGTAAATGGCAGCTCGAGTTCAGCAACCGATCATGATGATCATCAGGATGAAACAGAGGACACTATAATCATGAGAAAATATGAAATTCATTATGCAACTTCTTGAGTGGCTAAAACTTTTCATTGTTGAACTTGAAGCTTTGGCCTAGTGACCAAGGCCTCAAAAGTTCACCAGGAGGGCAGAGGTTTGAATCCTTGCCCTCCCTTCCCCCTCACCCTTTAATTGTAATATTCCCAATGTACCAAAACTTTTCATTGTTATAAGTTATAAATGGATACTATGTTTTTTTGTCTTCAAATAATGTCTTATATTTCTCATGCTTTAAATTTATATGTGGGAACATTACAGTTAAAGGGGGAGGGGAAGGGTTATATATTGCAGGTTTTGCCTGTGAGTTTAATTTGTTTAAGGTTGTGTTATTTGTGGGAAAGTAAAGTTGATCAATTAAAGATACTGACATGGGTTTATGGATGTTGATTTATTTGTTTCTGATAGGAAATGTAGAACTGCCTTTACTCTGCTGATAACTTTGCTGAGGATTTTGCTAAGTGTGATCAAAGTTCTTGCAATCTTCATATTGCATTGGCAAATTACTATATACTTGGCAAAGAAAACGTGCAAGAAACGGTTTGATTTAAGTATTGACAGTAGTACCAAATTTATCTTTTTTAATAATATAGAATATATGTTGGATAATTTTTGAATATTGATGTTTATTGAAGGCATTTGTTCATAAGTGAACAATTATGAAGAGACTTATTTGTCTTATGAACAATTATGAAGAGACTTATTTGTCTATAAAAGATATCTTTATGATATAATTATTCATAAAGTTATGTCTATTTGGAAAGACATATGTTGATCATAAAGTTATGTCTATACGAAAAGACATGTATGCTGATCAAGTATATAAAGAGCCTTTCACATAAACATTTTAAGAGATAGAACCAATAATTCTACTTCTCTCTGACTGTTCTCAAGTGGCTTTGTTGTATCCCAAATACGACTTGTCTAAAATAGTTAGGCAATATTGTATTTGAGAAAACTTGGCGCCTCAAAGTCTTATTTCAATATTTTCTTAATTAGAAATTTTCCCACAATTCAAATACAATATTCCTTCAACTAGTGAAATGCCTTTGAGGACATGATGCGAAGTCACTCTTCTAAGGGAATTATTGATGAACACAAGCAAGAAAATCATTGATAATCATGAAGAATTAATTGATCGGTGGAAGAGATAAGTTTCTCCTTTAATACTTGTTAATTGAATTTTTGCTATTTTATGCAAGTTTCTCCCTTCTTGATCATGAAATTGATAAGTCATGAGTTCCAAAATTATTTATTGCATATTGGCAATTGATGGATATTATTAATCCTTGATTATTTCGGTAGAATCATGGTTATTTTTAAATCAAATGAAAATAATGGAGACATGATTATTAAACCGAAAAGAAGCATGACATTTTGGATTTGAAGATAGAAGGAAGTAACATTTTTTGGTGCATGCTTGTGTTGTATCAATGAGATATATATAAGTTCATTTATATGATTTATATCTAATGTTTATTTCTATTATTTTTGTGAGAAATAAACATGTTGTGAGATAACTTCAAATTGATTAAGGAAGTTATATATAATTTCTATTTGTCAAAATGACTTTGAGATTTAATTCATGCAAATCGTGAGCACAAGCTTTATAACAATTTGTGATATGGAATTTATAATTATTCCTAGAAGCATGAAATATGGTGGTGATGGAAATTATCCATATACAAGTGATTTATTTGTTTCACAAGTTCATGATTGGGCACAAGCTTAGCATTGTGTTAATATGGGAGTTATGATTATTTTATCATAAAGTGAATTATTGGCGTATAACCTCATATGAATTGAGATGTTATATTTTATTTTGAGACTATGATCTTTATACGATTAAGGTATAAAATGGGTCTCAAATGGTAGCAATGAATATAGTTTTTCATTTATGGCTACTTGGATTCAATTTTATTGTGATCTTTATTATTGAAATAAAGAGACATCCTTTGATGATTCGATGTGTGATTTCACCTAGTGGGGGTGTCTTGCTTTCTTAAAGAAACAAAGAGATATATGTTGGTTTCTTAGAGAAACAAAAGAGTTATATCACTATGATGTAATAAGAGTTGGTATAATCTTACTTTATGTAAATTATACAAATTAAGTGAGTGTAGTACAATTTATTGATGAAAGTCATTGGAAAGTCCTACTTTAACTAAAAGGACTAAATGACTTTGTATATTTCTTGGAAATTATCCATTTGTACTATAAGAAAATTTTGATGGATATGATTAAGGAAATAGATTGATTTGAAAGTAAACAATGAGTATAGTGTTGTGGCCACAACCAATGCCAGCTATTTCCTTGAATCATGAATGATTAAAGCATATTAGTAATATGCATAAATGGAAAGTGTGAGGATTGATAAATCCTTTATGATTGTGTTAGAGATAAAGTCTCTAATGGAATGGTTACTATCTCCTACATAAATTCAGCAAAGAATTTATCGGATCCGTTAACTAAGGCATTGCCTAGAGATAAAGTGTGGGAGACTACAAGTAGTATGTGATTGAAATATAACCCTTAGACACCAATGATGGGAACCCAACCTCGCTTGACCAAACCGGTTATAGACTGAGGTTCAATGTGGTAATAACAAGGCATATATGTTTCAAAGTACTAACTATGTCCCATATTGAATAAAAGTTGTTAGTACTAATGTGATAAGAGAGGATGAGTTATTAAACTCTTAATGGAGCAATAAGAGGTTGTTAGGAATAAATCAACAACAAGTGACTCCACCTATATGAATATGAAGTGGTGCCGCTTCAACAAGAGTATGAAAGGGTTTTACTCTTGTACATATTCATAGAAAATGGATCGCTAGCACAGGGCCAGTCATAGTGCTAGGAGCAAACGAGAAATTTGGTTAGAAGAAAATAAATATAGTGTGTGTGGTATTTCCGATGTTAGACGATTGGAGTCATGGTTCAATCTTCGGACACCATGTACTTCGTTAGCGTCCTGAAATGCTTTCGTAGAATCCTTCTTGTATGGACTATACTTATAAGTGAATTATGGTTTTCAAGTCAACAAACTAGTGGGGGAATTAGTTTGTAAATACTTGGATTGGTAAAGTTAAAAAAACCAACATTCCAAAATAGTGGGGAATTGTTGGATATTTTTTGAATGTTGATGTTTATTGAAGGCATTTGTTCATAAGTGAACAATTATGAAGAGACTTATTTGTCTTATGAACAATTATGAAGAGACTTATTTGTCTATAAAAGATATCTTTATGATATAATTATTCATAAAGTTATGTCTATTTGGAAAGTCATATGTTGATCATAAAGTTATGTCTATACGAAAAGACATGTATGTTGATCAAGTATATAAAGAGCCTTTCACATAAACATTTTAAGAGACAGAACCAATAATTCTACTTCTCTCTGAATGTTCTCAAGTGGCTTTGTTGTATCCCAAATACGACTTGTCTAAAATAGTTAGGCAATATTGTATTTGAGAAAACTTGGCGCCTCAAAGTCTTATTTCAATATTTTCTTAATTAGAAATTTTCCCACAATATATGACAAGAGTCTGGGATTGAAGATCTTAGAGATTGTGCATCCTATATGTTTATTTTGATTGATTTATGCTGGAACTTGGATTATGATCGAGTTATTAACATTGATGGATTATGATAGAGTTATTGACTCGCCAACCAGTCAATTAAGACCTGCTCGAGTTTGGAAATTGAACCATGAAACCTGCTAGATCGCAGGACAAGGATTTGTACGTAGTTTTGGAGGGATTTCTCCTTAGATTGTAAAATTTCAATTAATGTTGCCACTGAAATTTTTTGATGAAAGATCAAGAGAAGCCAAGAAAAAAGGGAACTTGGAATCGGTCCTTATTTCATATTTCGACAAATCAAGAAACTCGATTAGATTAGGTTTGGAATTTGGTTGATGGATCTGTTACACCCTGACTGACGATAACCCACACGCTTTGGCTAAAGCAAGATGCCATATGGGCATGGATTTAGAGCTGGTTGGAGGGGATCCACATGATAACATGAGGCAAAATGTTGGTGTCTGACTTGGTAGCCTTTGAAGCTCATCTACTTAATTCTTGTACTTTTTAGCTTTCGACTTCGACCCCAAAAAATGTCTTATTGGACGACTCGATCCAATTACCTATACTCCTCTTAGAGCACACGAATGAAACATAATTTATAGATTATTATAAAATAAAAATTAAAAAAAGTTATGTTTGATTGGTCAATTCAACATAGTTAAAATTTGGCTTAATATCCCAAATTTTCTAAATTATCAAAATCGGGATAATTTCCTTCTAATCGTCAAAAATTCTTGATGTGGCCTAAGAATTGGGTGGGGGGGGGGGGGGGGGAGGAATTATCATGATTATGGGGTACGAAAGTTCCAAATTAAAAATTAAAGGAGAAAATTGTTCTGATTTTGATAATTTAAGAATTGAAAGTTCCAAATTAAAAGTTCAGGAAAGAAAATGTAAATCTCTTTTATAAAAGTTTGAGGAAAGAGGAAATGGACATTATTTTTTTTTTGCTACAAAAGAACTAGAAAACGTAACTTAGGGCCTTAAAACACCCTCCCCTATCCTATCATCTTCAAGAAGAGGTAAGAGTTGTACCGGAGGTTCATCACACCAGCTCACACCTGGAGGATTATCATGAGCTAAAGTAGCCAATAGATCCGCACATCTATTACCCTCTCTGTAGATGTGCATAATCTCTGTAATCCATCACCCTGTATAATCTCATAACAGTCACGAACCAAGGTGTAGCAAGGATGAGAAGAGTCTAATTGATCCTTAAGAAATTGAACAACCACATCAGCATCCATCTCTATCACCAAAGAAGCAATATTCATGGACTTTGCCATTAAAAGGCCTTGCCGAATACCCCATAGCTCCGCACTCAAACTATCCGTAGTGCCTATATTCAACATAAAGCCCTTAACCCAACCGCCATTGCTGTCTCGAATCAAACCCCCTGCCGAAGCTTGACCATCATGGGCCCTCCGAGAGCCATCCGTATTAAGAATGAGAGTACCAGGAATAGGAGGCTTCCATTTTACTAACCTCGGTGCTGACAGCGATTTCGAAAACCCGCATTCCATGCCATAGCGGAATCTTGCGCCAACTTCACCGCATACGCCACTACACTATCAGCATTTGGTACAATCCCTTGAAAAACCATTTTATTTCGAGCCTTCCAAAGACTCCAAAGGACCGAAACAAAAAGCAAATCCCATAACACAGATTGGGAACCCAAAACAATAGATGGAGTCCCTCGGGTAGCATTGCTCCGCATCCAAACACGAAACTCTTGATGACTCCGAGCATCAAGCCCATACCTACGATACAAACTACTCCAAACACCCTCTGCAAAAGGACAACCTCGCAATATATGATCAATGGTTTCAACATCCCCCTCACACAGCGAACAACCTATTTCCGTTGTCAAGCCCTTTCGACTCCGCACTGCATTAGTATTCAAACAATTAAAAAAGACAAGCCAAAGAAAGAACCTGATACGTTCTGCTGTATGCAACCTCCAAATCCAACTACAAGAACCAGCCAAATCATCATGCCGAAACAAATTAGCTAAAACACCGTAAGCTGATTTCGTAGTAAAACAACCCGACTTGTCCCAAGCCCATGCGCACCTATCTCCTTCCAATGAGCTAGTGAAGTAACGAATAGCTCTAATCTCTTCTAATTTCAAGTTGGAAAGAAACGGTCTCAAAGCATTCAAATCCCATTCACCATCACTTGTCAAAATAGATGCTACTTTAGTATCACGAGCAAAAGAATCAGCATCAGAAGACAAAACATGATTAATTAAGGGACCATCACCTACCCACCAATCGAACCACAAACTCGTTGAGCGGCCATCCCCTGTAGACCACTTGGTACCCTATCGAATGCACTCAATTGTTTTCCGAATACCTCGCCAAGTAGAAGATTGTCGACTGGTATATTTACTATTCACGAACTCAACCCCCTTCAAATATTTTTCCTCAAAAATCTCAGTGTATAAAGAATGTTGCCTCATTTGTAATTTCCACCATGTTTTAGCTAACATTGCTACATTGGTCAATCTGGCTTTCCGAAGCCCCAAACCTCCATTACCTTTGGGACGGCACACTCGATCCCAATTTACCAAATGATCATGTGAGTTTTTAACATCACCACCCCATAAGAAATTTCTACTAACCTGATCCAATTTTTCACAAACAGAAACAGGTAATAAAGCAGTTTGCATGGTGTAAACTGGAATGCTACTAAGGGAGGACTGAATCAACGTTCGTCGGCCTGCATAACTTAGCACTTTACCCTTCCAATTAGCCAATTTCTTCAACACTCTATCAATCACATAACTGTAGGTAGACCGAGTTACCTTAGTATGAATAATGGGAACCCCAAGATAAGTGCCCAAATCCTGGCCCAATGGAATGCCACAAAGAGAACTCAACCTTCCCGCTTGCTGCTTTGAAATATTTGGCGATACCCAAAGCTTAGATTTGAGTAAATTCATCTCTAAACCAGAGGCCTTGCCAAAGTCTAACAACACATCCATAATAAGATTCACCTGCTCCTCCGAAGCCGGTCCAAATAACATCAAATCATCTGCAAAGAACAAATGAGATAACTTTGGACCTGACCGACATGATTTGACAGGCACCCACTGCTTTCTATCCACCCTTTCCAAAATCATATGAGAAAGCCGCTCCATCGCCAAAATAAATAAATATGGCGATAAAGGATCACCTTGTCGAAGACCCTGCTGAGGTTTAAAACTAGGCAAAGCCTTCCCATTCCAAATGATAGACAAATCAATATTAGTAACACAAAACATAATCAAACTAATAAGCTGAGTAGGAAACCCAAAAAAATTCAAAACCTCATGAAGAAACTCCCAGCTCACATTGTCATATGCTTTTTGCAAATCAATCTTCAAAATCATAGCACCCTTTCTCCCTTTTAAATTACTCAAAGTATGAACTATCTCCTGAGTAATCAAAATATTATCCGTAGTACTTCGACCAGCCAAAAAACTGTTCTGAAATGGACCAATAATACGCTGAAGAATAGGTCTCATCCGATTCACCAAGACCTTAGATAAAATCTTATAACAAGTATTAAGCAAGGTTATTGGACGAAAATCCTTCACAGATGTCGGATTGCTACCTTTCGGAATAAGAACCATGTGTGCATGTAGCAGGTTAACATCTATCTTGCCTGAAGTAATAGCCTCATCAACAAATTTCAACAGGGACTCTTTAACAGTAACCCAATTACGTTGATAAAAAATAGGTTGAATACCATCCACCCCAGGGGCTTTAAGGCCCTTCATTGAAAACGTGGCCAACCGAACCTCATCAAAAGAGGGTGCTTAACCAGCTTCGACTTCTCTTCCTCCAAAACACAAATCGCAAACTGATCAAAAGATGAACTAAGAGACTCCCTTTCCTTTCTACCAAACAACTCACTATAAAAACTCACAACATGCGAACTCAACACATTTTGTTCTGTACACCAAACATCCCTAATTGACAAGCCCACAATTAAATTGCGATTTCGTTGAATAGCAGTAGTGAGATGGAAAAAACGAGTGTTCCTTTCGCCATTGAAAACCCACTCCAATCTAGACTTTTGTAACCAAAGTAATTCTTCTTGCTCCAATACCGTATACAACTCCTATCGTAACTGAATTTCCAACTTCTAGAGAAAAGTAGAAGTAGCAAAATCCTCGGAATTTTGAGCTCCTCGGATCCTTGCCAAAAGCTCTCTCTTCCTATGAAAAATATTCCCAAACACATCCACCTTCCAGGCCTGAACATCTTTAGTAACTTCCGCAATAGCCCGAGATAGAGACCCTTCACCACGAGACCAAGCAGCAGCAAAGACCTGAGAGAACTCCGGATGAGTGAGCCAAGCCGCTTCAAAACGTACGAGTCTATTTTCAAGCGGCGCCTTTTGGATACAATTGAAATCCAAAAGAATTGGATGGTAATCTGAACATAAACAAGGCAAATTCATGATTTTGGCATTCGTAAGTTCCGTTAAAGCAACCAAATTCCAAAGTACCCTATCAAGTTTTTCCTGTAATACAACTCGACCACCCACTCGTCTTCTCCAAGTGAATTTCGACCCTGAAGACCCTGCATCTAGCAAGTTACAATCATTCCACCGATTTCGAAACTTCAGGACTCGATTAATCAGAAAACCAACATCATCTTTTCCACCCCATCTCTCCTTCAAAGATGCAAAGTCATTAAAATCCCCGAGAACAATCCAAGAAGAAGAAATAGAAACAGAAAAATCTTTCAAATCACGCCAAAAAATATCCTTAAATTGGGTTTGAGGCCGCACATAAGCAAATGAAACCATATGCTGCACTCCCTTATACACAATACTCGTATGAATAATTTGAGTGGAAAAAGAATGCACCGTTAGATCAGTTGTTGCAGCATTCCAGAAAAGAACAATTCCTCCTGCCATGCCTTCCGTTGGAACCTCAAAATAATCTGAAAAACGAAGATACTTCGCCACTCTCTTGACAACCTCTGTATTCGCCTTAGTTTCCAATAAACATAAAACTTCAGGCTTGTACAACTTCAACAACTCTTTACAGGTCCTCCGAAAATTAGAGTAACCTAAACCCCTGCTATTCCAGGTAATTATCTTCATAAAACAAGGGAAGAAGAATTCTGTTGGACTAAACCAACGTCAATCATCATCTGTTCCTCAGAAGCTTCAATTAAAAAACCATCAGTCCCATTTAACCTCTCTTCGTTCCCCTCCACTTCCTTTTCCTCCAAAGAAACCGCAGGAACACAAGACACATTTGAAGGAGGATTTTGCGGTGGAAGAATTGAGGGATCAGAAGTCAATTTCTTTCCCCCATCAGACTTCGAAAACTCCTTAGCCACCACAGAAGCTCCCTCATTAGTTGACGGCATCGTAGTTAAAGAAGCTGTTGAAGTTTCCATTACACCATCCATAACAGGCCCATGTAATTTACTCCCAACAAGCTCCACCAAACGTTTAGCATCAAAAGTAACAGGCCTAGAATCACCGGCCTTAAAAGAGAAACCCGGAGGAGGCCCAATTACCTTATTGGGCTCAAAGACAGAATAAGCTTTAGGAAGATCTGCATTAGACCGAGAGAAGGAAGCAACACCCTTTGATTTCGCCTTAAATCCCTCTTTACCTGAAGATTTAGACGTTATATTAATGCCATAATCTTTCTTGGGTTTCCACTCTTTCCTATCATACTTGAACGGACCTTTCTTCACAGAAGAGAATTCTTCCACTAATTTCTCCTTTTTCTTCTCCACCAAATCCTCCTTGACATTCTTTAAGTGATTAAAACAATTCCTAGAATCATGCCCAGGATCACTCCTAACCGTTGACTTGCCTTTCTCAACAGTTTCCTGCACCGGTCGACGACCTCTCCGTTGGAAAATCATCCATGGACCAAAACTTGCATTTGTCGATGTTTCCACCACCTAGGATGGAGTCTGATCAGAATGACTAGGCACTGAACTAGCAGCATTAGCTGTACTCTTAACAGGAGTCATGGAACAATCATCCCTTCCATGAGCAAATTGGCCACAACTAAAACAAATTAAGTGTAACCCTTCATACTCAATTGCTTGAACCATGGTGCCAATGTCTACCGACGACCTCAACGGAACCGACAGATCCAACTCCACGCAAACTCTTGCGAAACCACCCCTAACTACACTCTCCGTAGTTTTGTCCAATCGAATTACTCTGCCAACTTTCGATGCAATTCTTCTAATCGCCATATTAGTGTAATACTCCAAAGGCAATTGCGGTAGTCGAATCCAAGCTACAATGGATTTGATAACATTTGAATTTGGTTTGAAATTATGTGTCCATTGCCGAACTGTGAGTTGATGCCCACCAATCACCCAAGGACAACCATCCAGAACATGTTTGTAATCCCCCCTCTTCTGAAATTTAAAACAGAAGTAATCATTACCAAGATCAATAATTCTGTATTTGCCTTCAATACGCCATAGCTGTTGAACTCTTGATGAAAGAGCTTTGAAACCAAGGATTTTGCCAAGCAATTTCACGATCAACGCATTCTTCCATGGTTTCCTTAATTCACGTTTCTCCTCGACTGAGAATCGACCCCGTGAATCAGAATCCTCCCCCTCTTCTCCATCCGATACAGAATCCTCAAACATAATACTATCATCCCCTTCATCAATCTCAGTCCAGTCCTCCCAAGTAGACTCCTGGACAGGCACACTTCCAGTAACCCGATCCTTATAAGAAACATTACTAGATTCCAAAGGAACCTTGGGCGTAGGAATCTCAGTATCCAATTCCTCCTCCCCTTTGTCAAGACCATCCACTGGACCCTCCTTAACCCTTCGTTTCTTATATTTCTTTTTACTCCGACGAATAGCCTCATCAGCGAGATCCGTAACCAATGGAGAGGCCGGTGGCGTACTCTCCATATCAATCGCTTATTCTTCCTAGTTCTCTTACTCCTTTAAGCAGCTTATAGGAAATGGACATTATAACATTAAAATTTTTGATCCTCTAAATGGGCTCAAAAAGTCGGTTGGTTAAAAGTTTGTATCAAAATAATTGCTGGGAAGAAGGGCGCTGTTGGCCATTGACTACTGATCATATTTTAGACTTTAGTACAAAAATGTCCTTAGTTATTTTAACTAAATTTAGTAGCACTAGCTAGTAAATTGGCCAATATATATATATAATTCATAAACCAATAAAGAATCAATTTTTTTTGGTTAAAATCAATGACTCAAATGTTTTCAATTTTCTAAAATAATTCTAAAAAAATGAAGATATCATTAATTTCATTTCAAGAAAGAAAACTATGACATTACTTTAGTAATAAGCAAAAATTCATTATACAAAAAAAAAATCAAAATTACGTTCTAATATTAAAATGGATTTTGTAGTGAAAACAAAAACTTCAAAAAAGAGTCAATTGCAGCTGTTGTGGTAGAATTAGTAAAGACTTCGTATTGACTCAGTCTCTGTTTGGTAGATTGGTGATGAGGAGATTAGAATGAATAGATTAATTATTGTACATGTGAGATTATAATTGTAGCTTTAAGAACTTAACCACTAATGAAAAAATGTATATTTGGTGTAGTGGTGAGATTAAATATAAAATTACCATTAAGGTTAACATAAAAGAATATTATAAAATATTAGAGACAAAAGAGACAAAACTTAAGTATTAATTCTAAAAGCTCCAAACACAACATTTTCCAACTTTTGAAAATTATAGCTTTTGCTGTGGTTGAGTTTGTCACGTAGGACAACCATTTCAATCACAGACATCACATACACCAAACCTTGCTTTTGAAGCTTTTAGCACGTTTGGGACTCCCAACCGTGCCAAAAGCCCCAAACGTGTCAAAAGCTCAACCAAACATAGCCTTAAAGGAAAACAGAGATGTAATCATTTGAGGATATTTTCATCCCTTGAAAAATTAAATAATCATTAAAAAAAAATTAAGGAGAACGAGAGAGAGTCAAAGTCTTTTTAGTTTGTTCCCACTCCCACCATGCACCCACCAATGTTCACGTCATTCATTAATTTCATGATTAATGACGATCGACGCATATATATACACTACATATTAATTTTATACACTCTGGAAAAGACTAACGACCCCTTCCAACTTTCAAAAAGAAAAGAGCTAATCGCCCCGTTTTGGTCTTTTCTCACATGGCTGATTACTTTAAAACCCTTCTAAGCTTAATCCTTTTGTTTGAAAATGACTGTCTTTATGTGTCATTTTAACATTTTGGATTATTAATAATGTTCACATTGTTTTCCCCTCATTTTGGTGATTTACACATGGTTAATTACTCAAAAGTACCATGCAACTTCCTTTGTTTATCTACCCTCCATGTCCTTTTATGTCATTGCATTAGTTTTTGTGTGTAAACTAATTAATGTTGTTTCATTGTAGAAAAAAATTAATGTTTTTTTTTAAATTTTAAGATTTTTCAAAAGACAGAATTCTAAAATGCATATATTTGAAAAGATGACTTTTAAATTATTTGGTTTGGATACATAATTTGTAGAGAGAAATCATAAGTTATTTTAAAATTTTATAATAAACTTAAAGATTAATTATAGAAAATAATATTAAAATGGAAAAATATACAATATGGGTATCACTAGAATTGTAAAAATGTATAGATTTTATTAATAAAATGTGGGAGTGAAAAAATATATTTTAGGAATAAGTTTTTATCATGTAATCTATAAGAATAAAAATGGTGTGAAGAAAATGGAAAGTTAATAAATATAGGTGGTTAGTTAAAAAGACAAGGTTTTTTGAAAAAACACCATTGGAGAAGGATTTTGAAGAGAGGTTTTGGGCCCTCTAAAAATCCCTCTTCAAATTTTTAGGAGATTTAAAAATCCAACTCTTTTCTTGCCAAACCAAGAATTCTAATTTTAGATTTTAAAAAATCTCTATTCAAATGAAAATCCTTCTTGAAAATCTTCATCCAAACACATCCTTAAGGATAAATCTGAAAAACAGAATCAATACACTTCTCTTTCACCATCATAATGCAATCATCAATCAAGTCTTCATCGTCCAAAAATAGGAGTAACATAACATTACTAAGTTCTCTAATCTCAACTTTAAGATCAGAAGCGGTGATAACAGAAATCACATCTTCAGATTTGGCCTCTGTCTTCAGAAGAATAACCACACTCTTCTCCAGCCAACTACGATGATCATCTGGAATACAAACTTCCAGGTCGAGTTCCTTACTAGCTAAAGATCCTTCAACACACTCTGAAACGAAATCCATCTCTTTAGAATTGGCATCAATAAATCCCTCTTCGATTCCTGGTAGAGTGGCATTGTTATCTGTAGTGACAAAATTGGTTTTTTCTCTGTTAAACTTCTGAGCAGAGTCCCTAATTAGATGTCCACCGTCAGTTAATTATGGTTTGTTTTACTTATATAACCCTATTTAATTCATCTAATTGACCATTATCTCAACCACCATATTTAAAGCATGGGGGGAGGACATCTAAAAAGGGACGGAGGGAGTATGCAATCTCCCTGTTTGTATAAATGCAAAAATATTTCCCAAGAGTTGTAATTGGATAGATTTAACAATTGCGACTGTAACAAAAAGACTGTAACGAAAAGACTGTATAAGCTTTCTTATATAACCTTCGTGCCCCCACCCTATATCCGTCCATGACTATAACAAAAGGATTGTAATGAAAAGTTCTCCGCGGGGCTAGCGCGGAGTAACCCTCTTGTTATAGTATTATTTAGATTTAACAACGAAAGTTTCTAATGCTTCATTATTCATATACAAGTTCCTCATCGATCTCATCTCCCTGCAGAATTTACTCCAAAGTCCAATCTTAAGCCATTTTTCAAAGCAGAAAGAAAAAATGTCTGAATTATCAACGGGAGCTAAAATTGCCATAATTTTAGGTAAGAAATTTAGTTTAATTTGGTCTAATATCAAAACCCCACTCTGCAAATTATATCTTTTTGTCTAAATTTTATGTATGTTTATGTAAGTTTATGATTGAATTCGACTAGCAATGAATGATTAATACGTCTTGTTAACAAAATTTCAGGCGTTCTTGGTTTAGCAGCAATTTATAGAGTCATAATTGCCCTGTATGAGAGTACTGAAGTCAGTAAACAGGAAAGAGCCAAGAAACTAGAGAAAGTGATGAATTTGGAAACAATGTTAACGGACTGGTTGAAGGCAAGGAACCAACCAACAAAGCATCAAATCGATGATGTGGAAGCAGGAATAGATAAAGAGACAGTAGAAAGATTCATAGAGCATGTTTTGGAAGAGAAACCAGCCAGGTTTTCTTCCCAATTGCTTCAACTCTTCACTTCAAATTACCCCACCAAGTTAGGCGAAGGTGGCTACGGTGCCGTCTACAAAGGCCATTTTCCTAACGGGCAGCAGCTGGCTGTCAAGGTGCTCAACTCTGGCGTAGATAAGAGAATTGAGGGTCAATTCATGGCTGAAGTCAACACCATTGGAAGAACTTATCATCGAAATCTTGTCAGGCTTTTTGGCTTTTGCTTTGACGAAGACACCAAAGCACTAGTCTATGAGTACATGGAAAATAGATCTCTTGATAGGCTATCATTTGGGAAGGAGCATGAGATTGAATGGGAAAAGTTATATGAGATTGCAATTGGAGCAGCTAGAGGGCTTGAGTATTTGCATCATTTTAGCCATAAGAGAATAGTCCACTATGATATAAAGCCGGCCAATGTTTTGCTTGATTCTAACTTTTGTGCCAAAATTGCAGATTTCGGGCTTGCAAAATTGTGCACTAGGGACACCACCAATGTTACTATGTCAAGAGTTGGTGGAACTCCTGGCTACGCGGCGCCGGAGGTTTATATGCCATTCCCTTTGAGCTACAAGTGTGATGTGTATAGTTTTGGGGTTATGTTGTTTGAAATTGTTGGAAGGAGGAGGAACTTTTTAGGTGAGAGTCAAGAGTGGTTTCCGAAACAAGTATGGGAAAAATTTGAGAAGGGAGAATTGGAGGAGGTTTGGGCAAATTGTGAAATTGAAGACAAGGATAGGGAAAAGGCTAAAACAATGGTGACGGTGGCTCTATGGTGTGTCCAATACAAACCAGAGGCTAGGCCTTCGATGAGGAATGTTGTGAAGATTTTAGAAGGTGGAGCCGAAGCTGCAATTCCTCCAAACCCATTTGAGCATTTGATGCCTTCGGCTAATGTGCCTTCTTGTATGGTTAGTTCATATACAGGAACAACGGATTATGATGAGGATGAGGATGAGAGAAGTGACACAACAATCATGTGAAAATATGAGATTAAGTATGCAACTTCAAGCATTGAGTAAGTAATTAATTATGGGTCGATTGCTATATTAGTCTATATAATATATGATTAGTACTTTTCTAATTAATTTCGTGTATTCCTATACAAGTGGTGAATGTGATAATAGTCCAATAAATTGAAACCAATATTCTTTTGTGGGGTGATTAATTATTAATTGTATAGAAAGTCCTATACTCCTATTATTAATTTGATCAAAATTTGAAGTTAAAATAATTTTGAAGATGGAGACTTTTAGAGCAAACTTATGGATGTTGACTGATTAAACATTTTTCTTTTCATCATTATGTTTTCAAAATTAACTTATTGCTTATATGAATTCGAATGTGAAAGGGTACTCTGTTTTCTTGTAATGGTCACCACATTTCTAAGATTTTTTTTTGGTGAACATCTTTAATCAATAGTAATGTGAAGAAAAGTCAAAGACAAATGTTAATTATCCAACAAAGAAAAGAGAAATATTGAATATGGTTGGGTGATGCATTAATAAGGGCCACAGGTATTGCTACATTGATGAATCCAAAATGTTTTTGTCAAGGCTATTTAAGACGTATGGAAGAAAATTTATCATACTTGGACCTTGAAAATGA